ATTTCCGAAACCTGTCTAGAATTCTTCTATAATTTTTTTTTTTTTTAGTTGTAGTTGGACACAGTACCCTTATGCTATTTATTTATTTATTTATTTATTTATTTATTTATTTATTTTTATGTGGTGCTGAGGATCGAACCCAGGGCCTTGCATGTGCGAGGCGAGGGTTCTACCGCTCAGCCACAATCCCAGCCCCCAGAATGACAGTCAATTTCAAATGGTATTCAAAGATAGCACTTGGCCTATTAAGACAAATCTCTCACAAAATCTCTCTATTGTTTCCAAGAAGATGCTGATTTTTAGATTCCTGGAGAAGGCTGATACGGAAGAGATGCCCCGTTTTCCAAATGGGACCAAGAAAAGGGCCCCAAGTTACATAGAAAGAAATCTTCCAACTTCAGTTGCTCCTCTGAGAGCAGATGCAAACTTCTACAAAGCTCACAAACTTACAACTGCCCCTCCATTCTATCTGCAGTCTACCTCTCCGTCGACAGGCAGTGACTGATGGACAAGTATCGTAAGCTGGGTGACAGGTGGGCCCAAGCAGACTGCACTCCCACAGCATCCTGATTCGGGAAGAAACCAACATCCCCCCATATCTAGCCCAGTTGCCCAATCTCTCCATTGTCACAATTAGCAAGGCGTACCTCGTCTTCAGGCCAGGAGGGTGTGCAGTCCAACCACAGGGAGAAGGGACATGATTCCCAACCAGGGCGTGTGCACCCACATACCCTCAAGGCAGCCTGCGGAGCATCAACAGCCCACTGGACAYGGCCCTTAGCATACCATCTGTAGTCACTGCCTTATTAGACTGTCTTCCCAGTGATTGGAAAGCCACCAGAGGGGGAGAGATATGTCTGATATGTCTGGGAAGCCCCACTGTCCAGCACAGAGCCTGACACCAAACAAACATCCAGAAACTATTAAACAAATTACGATCCAATAAATATTTACTGAGCACTGACTATGTACAGATGCTGTGGACTAAGAGTGGGCAAAACAGACTTAATTCTGGCTTGTCATCCAGCTGGGCACACAGGGGCCATCAGTTCATCATCCGAATGTATGATCTGAAACAGTCTTATTTAAGATGACAGCACAGAGCRGGGGCCAGCAAAGCATGGCGCAACAGCCAATCCAGTTCTTCACCGGGAACGTCTGCCAATCCATGGCACAGAACAGGGAAATAGGTGCAGAGGTGAAGTACTAGGTAGGAGTGGAGTGGAGGAGAGGTCCCTGACAGAACAATAAGAAGCTTTAACAGTGGCTAGAACAGACAGCAGGGAAAGCACATGAGATTTCAAGGCCACCTTAAAGGTGTGGAGGGGTCTTTCTAAGAGCAAAGAGAGGAGTGTGTGAATGAGGGTGAGGAGGTGAGGATGCAACAGGAAGTGAGATGAGAGAATATGTGCTCTCCCTCTCCAGAATGCTCCCAGTGCAGGGGAGGCAGGACAAGAACAAGAACACATGGGGAGCCAGTTGGAAAGCCAGAGCCATCCTGTGGCAGATGCTGGTGACTGGGTCAGGGGGACAGCAGAGGGCCACAGAGAATCACCCCAGATTGGAGCTACATTCTGGAGCTGCACTTGTGTGGGGTGGACATGTCCACCTTTTCACCCCACAGCCCAGCTACTTCAAAATGGCCACTTTCTCTCTGGAGGTGAAATTGCCTTTCAGACTGGGACAGTGACGCAGCCTCTCCTGTGATGTCAGTGCCGCCCTTTGGCCAGACACACTTCAGAGATAAGACCAGGACTTAATAATTGGGAAGAAACTCTGCAAGGGGGGAAATCTATTTTGGAAACCCAGCCTCAAAACCAACAGAATCACTAAATGTGAAAGAACAGAAAGAACAGTACAGTGGTCCCTCAGTGACCAGAGGAGACTGAGTCTAGAACCCCCGGAGCTACCAAAACCCAAGGATGTTCAAGTCCCTCCCAGCACAGGATTTTCACAGAACCTATGTACATCCTCTATTTACATTTTCACAAAACCTATGTACTTTAAATTATCTCTAGATTAACTTACACTACCTAATACAAGGGAAATGCTAGGAAAACAGTGGTAATACTATATTGCCAAATAAATGTCTGTGTTCGGTACAGATACGATTTCTCCTTCCTTCCTCCCTTCTCTCCTTCATTTCTTCCTTCCTCCCCCCTCCCTCCCTTCTTTCCTTCCTTCTTATCTCTTTATTTCCCTAGTGCTAGGAATAGGAGCCAAAGCCTTGCACATGCTAAGCAAGCACTTTGCCACTAAAGTATACTACTGGCACTTTTAAAATACTTTTAATGCACAGTTAGTTGAAATCACAGGAGTGAAACCCACAGATACAGAGGGCCAACTGTATACTACAGATTCCAAGAGACCAGGGTCCAACTCCTAACTCTAACACCTCCAAGATGTCTAACCTAGGTGCTCCCATTTTGCCAAAGTCTATTTTCTCATCAATTAATAAAGCATAACACCACTGTTCCTCCTGAGGTTGTCCTAAAGACTAAGCATCAAAATTAAAGAAGGAAAAGCAATAAAAAAACAATAAGTTATTAATATTAAGCAGTGTGCTACTTTTAGAGATAAACAAGAGTGACAGTGAAAGTAATTAACTTTTTAAATTCCAAAAAAATAAAATTCTATAAAAAATAACATTTTACATAATAGAAGTTATAGTAGTGAATTCTATTATTATTATATAGGAACACATTAATCTAACATTCAGAGCATGATTGCTTCTCTCATGATGTGGATGACACAATTATGAAGAAAAATGATGAAGAAGTCATGGATACATCCACACTCACACCAAGCACATCCACACATATGCTTACACACACAGACCAATATGGCCAGGGAATTGTGAGCCCTGAATAACCTCTGTATTCCAAGGCCTGGAACAATGACTGGACTGAAAGCTTTGGTGTCCACTAGGATCACCTGGGGAGCTCACTGAAAATGCAAATTCCCAAACTACTATAAAAAATAACATTTTACATAATAGAAGTTATAGTAGTCCTACACACACACACACACACACACACACACACACACCCTAATTCAGGAGATCTAGAGTGGGATGTGAAATCTGCCTCCTAGGTAAATTCTGATGCAGGTAGACCTTGGATCCCAAAATAAGAAACCCTGTTCTACTAAGACCAGTACCCATAGTGGGCCTTCAGGAAGAACCGAATCAATACATCAGTCTAATAACCTGGTGCTTAACATATACTGAGCCTCCTAACATAGGGTAGACCCAAAATGTCTGCATAAAATGCTGATAATTTAAAAAAAGAAAAATTGGGGAAGCAGCCCTTTTGCCCTTGAAGCTCACAAGCCTTGATAGACATTTAAACACCTGACTATGGGACAATGTAATATACTCATCAGGATACCAAATCTTTCCTGAGCAACTTCTAGATGCTTCTGGGCACTGGACATATATCAGTAAACAAGAGCTAAGCATCTCTGTAAAGATCTAGTCCTACAGGGACAGGAGTTAAGAGGCAAAATTTCAAAGCATACTGTGGTTTCTTGGACAGTGAGTGTTGTGGAGAAAAAACAAAGAAGGGAAGGAGGGGGAGTGTCATTTTCAATCTGTGCCAGTTTCAAAGAATCCCCATTGCTCTGTAATGTGGCCCTCCATGCTGGGTTCATGGCTATTAAGCTCCCCAGAAGAACAAGGGGACGTGAGGACAGAACGACTGACTCTGCTGGTGGGCTAGGGTAAGAGGGTGGGGGACAGGGGCAGTTTGCAGGCCCTGAATGAGATGAATGCCGAGCTGGAATGTTCCTCAGCTTCCCCCAGGGCTGCAGAGCATGGATGAGCTCTGATTGACATCACAAAACATTTCCAACAGGGACTGGACGCCTGTGTGTCTCTTACCTCTGCCAAAACGTTAAATTATGTCCGGCCAACGCTATAAGCCTATGCAATTATGTCAGCCTTTCTTGGGTTGTAATGTCAACAGCAAGTTTTGGGACACATTTTCCATAAAAAGACCACATGATCAAAATTAAAAACATTAAAAATACCAGAAAACAAAGATTTTCAATATTCATATCCCCAACAATAGCTCTATTCATATTTTGCTATGTTTTTTCTCCAGAGCCGTTGTTTAACATAACTAGGGCCACTACGCACCCATATAATTAGGTATCTTGCTCTTTTTATTGTTATGACACATGTGTATTTACTAAATATATACTTTTTAAGTTGGAACATATGCATTGTTCTGCTTTTAAAAATCTACAGGAACATCATTTTTAATGGCTACATAACATACCAGCCTACTACTGTACCACTCTTGATTCACCATTTCCCAGTTATTATGTATTTAGGTTCCTGAATTTTCATAATTACAAGTCATTCTGAAAATAACTTTACACAGAAAGATATTTCAAGTAGTTCCTCAAAACAGATTCCTAGAGCTAGGCATGGTGGCACATGCCTGTAATCCCAGCTACTTGAAAGGCTAAGTAGGAGGATTGCAAATTTTAGTCCAGCCTTAGCAAACTAGTGAGATCCTGTCTCAAAATTAAAATCAAAGCCAAGCCTGGTGGTGCATGCATGTAATCCCAGTGACTCAGAAGGCTGAGGCAGGAGGATTATTAATTCAAAGCTAGTCTCGGCAACTTAGTGAGGCCCTAAGCCACTTAGTAAGACCTTGTCTCAAAATAAAAAATAAAAAGGGCTTGGGATGTGGCTCAGTGGTTAAGCATCCTGGGTTCAATCCCTGGTATCAATTAAAAAGAAAAAAAATTAAAATCAAAAGAGCTGGAGATACATAGGTCAGCAGTTGAACACCTGCCTAGCATGTATACGGTGCCAGGTCCTGGGTTCATCTCTAGTAGCTCAAAAAAAAAAAAAAAAAATAGAAGAAGAAAGTAAAAAATCCCTAGAAGGAGAATTATGGGAAAGTGAAATGTTTTAGACAACTGCAAAAGCTGGCCATCTCTTGCTACCTTTTCTTGACTGTAAGTGGTTTCAGAAGGGACATATTTACCTGCTGTCAGAATCGGAGGCGATCTCCTTTCTCCCTCCAAAGCGGATCTGGCACTGCATGGAAAAAGAAACTGCTGAGATCAGCTGTGGGCACAGGATGCTCCAAACATCACAAAACAGCCCACACAGAACTTCAAGGTCAGGAGCAGGACACGGGGCCATAAATTCCCAATGCCGCATATGGAGGTCCCCATGCCCTGGTGACAGCACAGAGTTAAGAAGGTAAACATCTCTGCCACTTAAAGGAAGCCTCAGCACCCACTTGGGGAAGCCAACCTCGTGGGAAAACACACTGACAGGAAACAGAGCACACGGCTCTCTGCAGACCTCAGGGATGCTGCCCGGCTGCCTGCTGCCCACCACCCACACCAGGAGCTCTCAACAGGCGGCGAGTAAGACTCCCACAGACCTGAGGGACAGCTCCTCTTTGACAGAGTCCCAGTTGTTATGACTGACTGTAAAATGATGACTGCGTGGATCAAGCTTTGAACAAGTCATTGGGTTGTACTGAATGACAGTCTTTCCAGGGAGGGTACAAACAAAACCAAATTAGCTTTTTTTTTTTTATTATTGTAGTAAAATAAAGATAACATCAAACTTACCATTTTAAGTATAAAATTCAATTCACAATGTTGTACATGACCATCACCACTTACTCTCTTTTAAAGGTGCAGAATCTCTGCTGTAGATAACAGACTTGAAAGATTCCTAAACTTCTGATCAAAAAAATATATAATTTGCCAGATGCAGTGATGCATGCCTGAAATCCCACATCCTCAGGAGGCTGAGGCAGAGGTATCTTAAGTGTGAGGACAACCTGGCCAACTTAGCAAGACATGGCAACTCGCTGCTCAACCACCCTGTGGAGAAAAGTGAACCAGATCCCAGGGAGAAGAAGGATGCTGAGAGAGGGCACATGAGCTGCCCCTGCACAAACAGCTACAAAGAGAGGAAGCTGGCATTCGACCCCAGCCACATCAGAGCCCAAGGCCATGTCCTTTCACCAATGCCCTTCTCAAAGGGACATCACTGAAGAACCAAGTCCTCCTGAGGGTTTGGAAACTGAAGACACAAGACCTCCTCCATCCCTAATTGGACCACCTTCCCTGTTCTACCATTTCCCGAGGGAAACTCTTCAGCATTCCCACACACAAAGTAGTCTTTTATACAAAAGGCAAGAAGTGACTTCTACGTTCATTACCTGACACCCTTGCTCAGCCCAAACGCCAAGCATGTGCGTTCTTCTTACCTGTTTTACTGCATCCAGCAGTCTCTCCAGCAGAAACTGTCTTTTGTCATTGTTCTGTGATCCTAAAATGCAATGAGGTTTAATTAGTTCTGTTTGATATTAGCCTTCTAATAAACCCTCTGACATTACAGTGTGTGGCTGTCCCCAACTAGGATCAGTCCTTTACTGATATTTAACAAAATCAATAGCAAGACAAGGTACCAGGAATCTACAATTATTACAATGAAGTTGGACCATTTGCCTGTTTCTGCATCACAAAAAAACAGCCTAATTAAAATCAAAAGGGCTGGAGATACATGTTCCCAAAATTTGAAGAACATGTCCCCATGGTCTAGCTAAGGGTTTCCAACCTTGCACTACAGACACTGTAGAAGGTTTATCTGCATCGCTGGCCTCTACCCACTAGATACCATCAGCACACACATAGCCCTGGGCTCTGACAATAAAAATGTCTCCAAATATTGCCATTATCTTCTGGGAAGAAAAACTGACTGCAGTTGACAACACACATTCTAACATCAAAGATGAGTTTCCTAGGTTGGGAGATCCTGCTTGCTGGCTGATCTCACCATTACCTCCAGCATCCTTTCCCCACATCACCTACAGCAACCCACACTAAAACCCTAATAATTCCTCTTCTCAGCAGCAAGGCTGACCTTAAGAAGTCTGGCCAATGAGAAGTAATAAGAGGAGTACCGGGAAAGTTACACCTTTTTATACAGAGAACAGATATGCAGGGCATCATGCCTTCCTCCACTCACATGCCTTGCCTTAGTTGTAAACAAGCTGGGTGGAGCCATAGCAGTATCTTGCCATTATGAAGCCAAGTGCCTCAGGGAAAGGTCAAAAGAATTACAAAGGCATTAAATTGGATATTATTGCTAAACCAATACCAGAAATGATGTAACTCTCAGCAAATAAAAACCCTCATTTGTTCAAGCCACTACACATTGGGCTGTTACTTGCAGCCAAAAACATTCCCAAATGAAACATACGACATACACCAAACTTCTGTTTAAGAAGGTCTGAGGCACCAAAGTACCAGGTGGGTCACTGATACGCTAAAACCCAAGTTCCATAAGAAGCACAAGGACTCCAATCAACAGAGACAAGGCTGCAGGTTATGATGCAGGCCCAGAGCACAGTCTTTCAAAGATGCTCCACACCACAAGTGTTGAATTGCTATCAAGCTGCTTCTGTCTTGGGCAACTTTATGTGGACTGCACCTGAGAGGAGCACTGCCTCAGAGATGGTCCCTGATTCCTGCACATCAAGTAAAGGCCAATCAGTTGATAACAACTGCCACCATGTGTTGGACACTCCAGCATGACAGGCACAAGCTGAGCACTCTGCATGCATCGCCGCCTTTAACCTTCGAAATCCCCCTGGCAGCCGTGACACCACACATGCACAGGGAAACAAGCTCAGAGGCATCAAACGATGACGTGCACTGATCAGTGGATCCACTCAGGATGCATTTAACTTTTAAATGTGTGGCAAGCAACGCTCTAAGCGGCAAGGTCACAGGAGTGTGCCACTTTCCCACGGAGCTAAAATCTACCAGCAAGTGATGTTAGAAAGCCAGGCCATAAAGAAAAACGAAACAGAGGGGTGAGATAGGAAGGAAGAGGGCCACTTAGTCAGTGCAGCCATAGGGGCTTCTTTACACAGATGGCATTTGAACTGAGCCCTCTATAAAGAGGAGGAACAGCCTTGGAAAAAAAACAGAAGGGCAAAAAATCCAGGCACAGCAAACAGCTGGGGGCCTTAGTCTTCCAGGACTAGAAGGAAGTCTGCCGTGACTTGAGCAAAACAGAAAGGAACCATCAGACAGGCAGGCAGAGGCCAGTCACAGGGGGTCCGTGGACAAGGATAAAGGTTTAGATTTGCTCCAATTTGAACACTAATTGATGTGATCCTAACACAAGACTGCCCCTTTACAGCCTGTGTGAGGACCACACACCAAGGCTCTTGCCTTATTCCAAGCCTGGAGAGAAAAACAGGAAGTTGATATTCCAGGACACACAGTAAAACAACCAATACATCAGATGCTACCACGTTTTGTTTTTTTTTTTTTTTTTGGGTGGGGGGTTACTGGGGATTGAACTCAGGTGCACTTGGCCACTGAGCCACATCCACAGCCCTATTTTGTATTTTACTTAGAGACAGAGTCTCACTGAGCTGCTTAATGTCTTACTGTTGCTGAGGCTGGCTTTGAATTTGTGGTCCTCCCAAGCCGCGGGGATTACAGGTGTGCGCCACCACTGCCCAGTAAGAAGAGGGTCTTAACAAGGAAAACATTCCCAACAGAAGAGAATGGCCATCGTCATTCAGGATGGGTACAGACCTACCTGCCCAAGACCCTCCAACACCTCCCTTGACACCTGTGTCTATCAATAAATCCTGCTCCTACCAGGCACAGTAGTGCACACCTGTAATCCCAGCAGCTCAGGAGGCTGAGGCAAGAGGATAGAGAATTCAAAGCCAAACTAGCAATTTAGCAAGACCCTGACTCAAAATAAAAAAAATAAAAAGGACTGGGGATGTGGCTCAATGGTTAAGTGCCCCTGGGTTTAATCTCTAGTACAAAAATAAAATAAGATACACCCTGTCCCTTGCACTTCCCTCCTTTTTAACATCAGAATACAGAAGTTGGGCCTTCTGCTTTTCTTTTTCCAAGTACTAGACCCAACAACTACTTGCCCTTGGGCAATGCCAATGGGAAACTTGACAGAGTTTTGCTCCTGGAAACGCCTTTGCTATTTTTCACATTATAAAAGTAATTTATGTGAAAAATGCAATAAAAACAAATCAGAAAAAAATATACAAGGAAAATAATCTCCATCACCTCACTACTGACATTCTAACACAGTGCTTCTCAAACTAACATGCACATGCATCTCCAGGGCATCTTGTTAAAAGGCAGGTTCTAGGGCTAAGGTTGTGGCTTAGTGGAAGAGCACTCACCTAGCACTGGGTTCAATCGTCAGCACCACATAAAAAATTAATAAATAAATAAAATAAAAAATACTTTTTTTAAAAAAAAGGCAGGTTTTGATTCAGAAGGTGAACAGTGGGGCCTGAGATCCTGCATTTCTCACAGGCTTCCAGGTGATGTTGGTTGGCTCCTGACCTACACTTGAACAGAAAGAATTTAGCACATATACCTCTTGATATGCACAATAATCCTAGACATCTCTTAGGGTACTTTGCTGTCCTGCTTGTTCTAAGTGACATGTCAGCAGCCTCCTGGGCCTTACTTTGCAAAATCTCTCTCATCATGGGGGTTGGGAGGCAGCCGATATTCTACAGAAAAGCAACCTGAGATTATACAGGTCTCAATCCAGAGGTTCACTTCCCCAGCTGTGATCTCTTCTGCAAGCAGGAAGCACTCAAATGAGACAATCCTGATCTTAGGACACCTGTGGCCATCTTAGCCCTGAAGAGGGGTTGTAAGAAGGGAGTCTCATAGGACACAGGGTGCACAGGTGACCTCGAGGACACTTATCAATGGTGAAGTGCCCAGAGAGGCCCCTGGCTATGAGGAATCTTGGGAGGAGCACTGAGTGGGAAGTCATAAGACATGAGTACTCATCCAAGCCAAGCTCCTTGGTATTCATGTGACAGGGACAATCACTTCCCTTCCCTGGGTACTGATTTCTGCATAAGATCATGCCCTCCTAGTCAGCTCTACAGTCTGCAAACCCAGGGACCCTGTGAAGACAGGAAGATAGAGAAATCAATGTCCTCTTTCTTACCTTACCCCAGTGACAGGCAGAGAATGCACCCCCACACATGCCCAGGCCAGAAGAATCCTCCAGCTTTAAGCACTACAGCCACCCAAAAGGAGCAGCAAGCTGATGCCCACTACTGAGCCCCGGCTACAGGTAAGTCGGTAAAGGACTGGCTTATTCAACCTTTAACAGAAGGTACAGGGGCTCCATTCAACAGAGAGCACCAAGGCCCAGACAGGAAATGACCCAGAGCTAGACCAGGGGAAATGTCAAAGAGAGACTCAACTCCAAGTCCACTGGCTCATGGCAGTGCCACCTGCTAAATCCTGCTCACCCCTGTTACAAACCTGCTGCTACAGCCCACTGATAGTTCTGAAGGCATTTCTCTGTGATACTTGAGTGACCAAACCCCAGCCCTCTTGTTCCTTCTCCAGGGGCAGCCCCAGCCAACACCATCAACCAGAAAGCCAGAGGAGGATTTTTTTCCCATTTCTTGTTAGATCACTACCAAAATGAGAATGGAAAATGGAAAGGAGCTCAGGGAATCCCTCCCAGCCCCACACAGCTGTCAGAACTGCAGTCATCCTGCCACTCTCTAACACAGGCACCACAGGCCCTCGTGAAATCCTATCACCTGGTGTGTATGTAGGTGCCACCTATTGTCTCTCTTTTTGGGAGGCGGGGGGGCAGTACCAGGGATTGAACTCAGGGGCACTCGACCACTGATCCACACCCCAACCCTATTTTGTATTTTATTTAGAGACAGGGTCTCACTGAGTTGCTTAGTGCCTCACTTTTGCTGAGGTTGGCTTTGAACTTGTGATCCTCCTGCCTCAGCCTCCTGAGACACTGGGATTGCAGGCATGCGCCACCACATCTGGCTTGTTGTCTTTGATGTTTAGAGTCCTTAGGATGTAATGTTTAATTTCATGTGTAAATCCATTAGAGTCCTAAATTAATTTTTACCACAAGGCTCTGGTCTTGTGCCTGGAGTCTCCTTTCAAGTTAAGGGGCTGCCCGGGAAGAAAGAGTGGAAGAACAAGATAGGCCTATCCCTAACTACTCACCTGTCTGCCTTAAGCACTTCATCAGAGACCACCTCCTAGGCCACTGAGTGAGTGAATGCACAGGACACACCCAGACCAGGGCCTAGTATATACCGAGTACTTTATACTCGTCCAATTTCACTGTTTTTGTTGCTGGCAGCTTACACACCAGAGGCATCAAGACTTCTGGCTCCAAGAAGTCCTTTCAACACCAAAGTACAGGCAAAGCTATCTAATCCATACTCCTGGGTCTAGTGTCCTACAGGATGAAAAGGTAAACCA